TTAAAGAAAACATTTTAAACAAAATCACATAACAGGAATATAAGAGAAACCATCCTTAAATTAATATATAGGCTAAAAGAAAAAAGAAATGTTTTTAAATAATAAGAGCGAAGTCTAGAAAGAAGTAAGTTTTATACCTAGCACATGACCTTCAATGAATTGCACATTTCCCTCTACTTCTTCCTCCCCTTTACTTTAAACATGACAATAAGAATGTTGTACATTAATTATTTAAGGACGTGCTACAAGGATGCTTTAAGTGGAGGTGAGAGAGAATGGAGAACAGTGGGAATCAAATCTGCCCTCACTGATAGGACCACCAAGTTATTCTGATTGTGACAACAGAAGCCTACAAAGATTTATGGCTAAAAATAAGGGTATCTCAACCCAACACTTATTTGGATATGGAAAGTTCCCCAAGCTGAGTGGTGAGCAGAGTGCTGGTGTGCAAGGGGACTCCAGTGGTCTTGGCATTGTCTCTCCTTTGTAAGAAAATAATATGCACGTTTTGTTGTTCACATCTCAGTGTCTTTCTGGGCCCTAAGTACCACCTGCAGTAGCACTTATGTCCCTTATTAAACAAGTGTCAGGAAATGGTTCACAAACTTGGGAATAAGAAGATTACAGCTGGAAATCATGGTCATGCCCAAAAAGTGAGAGAGAGAGAGCCCCCTCATCTTTGGTATCTGCTTTCTTTACAATCCCCAAATCCCATGAGATTCTGTGTAGGTGCTATTTGTTTGATGACACAGAGAGTGGACAGCTACTTCCTGGTCACTTCAATGTAGGAAGCCAGCACTGTCCTTCTCCAGAAAACACAAGTCCAGCTATTCTCACGGACAGCCCCCATGACTGTCGAACTTCTTCCTAAAGGCTGTAGTTTTAGGACTAACCATAAGCAGATAACTTTCACATCGCCTCCCCAGATGAATGTACTTCAGGCAGATGAGCTGAGCATCACAGGAGAGCTGGGAGAGTGCTGCAAAAACACACTGCACCAATATGAAAACAGAAACAGCCATTTGGAAGACACTCACGCACTTGGGGGGAGACATCAGAATAAACAGAAGATATGATGTCTGCTGCCTCTTGCTTCAGAACTCTAAGAAAGCCAGCACATAGATTATTTAATCATTGACTTCACCTGATTTTGGAACAAATCAAAACAAGAAATGGAAATAATATTCAAGGGTCAGCCAAACAGTATTTTTTCTGAAAATATGATCACCGCTCAAGTGGCATTGTTTAGTTACTAGAAGCTGTTTGCTCCCTCTAAATGCATCCTGCAGGTTTTTAAATCTCAAATAAATCTCAAGACAATTGCTCTAGTAATCTGAGAAATAACGAACATAATGCACCTCCTGTTCCAGTAACTGACATCCAAAAATAAAAATAAAAACTCAAGAAGGCCGAGAAACATCTTCTCAACGTGTACTACATGGGATGTGGGGATCTCTCTGAGTCCCCTGAGGATGGGTGCCTGGTGCCCCCTCTATGTTCACAGAGGTACTCCAAGTTCAAGTTTAAGTTCAAGGGCTCCCCCTGCTATAGCCGCCAGTCATCATAGGGGTCAAGGCATCAGAACTGCTGGTTTTTTTCCAAGTCTTCTCAAAGCAGCAGCAACCGCAGCAGTTTTCCTGCAAAGCAAACAAAATATGAATCTTGTTAATTCAGCAGGACTTTAAAAATTGTAATTAGTTGGTTGTGCCCCTTAGGAAAACCACACATGACTTTTTTTTTTTATAATGAATGTGTGTATGTGAAAGAGAGAGAGAGCAAAAAAAGGGGGGGCAGCGGGGGGGGTGGGGGAGAAAAGAAACCTCTTGATGGATTGCACTGCTTACCCGGGTTGTTTTTTTATTTTTAGCTTATGCAAGACATTTTAGCACTATTTGCAATATCGAGGGACAAAGCCGCTTTGTTTCATCTAGAGCTCAGCAGCTCCTGAACTGTTGCCACCAGGCCACGGTCAGCTTGATTCCAGCATCAAAGTGAGAATGCAGGTTACTACGTAGGGAATACAATTGTCTCTCAGTATCCATGGGGGATGGTTCCAGGACCCCCCATAGAGACCAGAATCTGCAGATGATCAAGTCCCTTATGTAAAGTGGCACAATATTTTCAAGGAACCTATCCACAACCTTCTGCATAATTTAAATCATCTCCAGATTATTTATGATACCTATTATAATATAAATGCTATGTAAATCGTTGTTATCCTATGTTGTTTAGAGGAAAATAACAAGAAAAAAAAGTCCATATAGACACAGATGCAATTGTTTTATCCAAATATTTTCAACCCACAGTTGGTTAAATCTGAAGGCATGAACCTGTGGACATGGAGGGCGGATCGTATTTCCACTTACTTTAGAAACATCCCTGACCTAGGGCTTGCACACTGCTGCCCTAAATTATTCCTATGGATCTAAAGGGGGGTCCGAAATTTATATTTCAGAGGCTGGCAAAAGATGCAAGGGAGGAAACAAACCAAGTGCCGCCAGGTTGACTTTGGGACTGTTTCTTTGACGCATCAAGAAACCTCTAACAAATTGAAGGAGATTTATATGCCTCAATTTACATTGTGGATTATGCCTTATTCATAAGGCCTGGAACTTGTTCTTTTTCCACAGACATAATCTTTAACCACCAGATTCTTAAAATCAATATTATCTCAAACTTGGTTTCACTCATAATACATCTTGCCAAAAACCTCATCTCACCCTCCTGGCAGGGAATATTGTGAAGAGTGATTTAAAAACAAAACAAAACAAAACAAAAAACTTTTCAGATGCATTTGCTCCCAGAGTTCATATCTTAAGGTTTAATTTTTAAATAAGTAGGGGCTGGGGTGTAGCACAGTGGTAGAGCACTTGCTTAGTATGCTCGAGGCCCTGAGTTCAACTCCCAGCACCACAAAAGAAAAAAAAAAAAAAAGTAAGAAAGTAAACTAGGAAGCATCTAGGTTCTGCGGATCTGAAGCGATTCTTCCTTGGCCTGAGGTGAGACCTAGGTGAATTTCTGTGGTCAAGTGGGGCGGAAGGCAGCCAGCCCATGTAGTCATCAGGAGGCAAACGTGACATGACTGAGTCCAGAGAGGTCTTCTCATCCAGTACCAGCAAAGGCTGTATCTAACTGTGCAGGGGACCAGCTTCCCTCTGTGTCCTGTCACTATTCAGGCTGACACTGTTTGCCATTGCATTGAAGTGCCAGCTTTGTCATGGAGGGGGTCTACGTCCTCTTACCACCACTCCTCCTCATTCTTTCCCTGCCAGGCCCTGGCGACAGGACAGTCTTGGAATGCACCCCCCTGTCACCCAGTGAATTTGTTCCCATCAGGCCTCGAAAGTGACTCCAGTATTTCTGGTGGGAAGGTGGTTTGTGGCAAACCCTTGGGGTTTGTGGTGACTGGGGACAAAACTGCTTCTGGGGGAGAGGGTGAGGGAGGAGAAAGGGAACAGACACAGGCCTGGCTGCTTTGAGCCCTGGGCTCTCAGGACTCATAGCAAATGCAGCTCTCAGAGTGCTGAAACCCATGCCTGGCACCTCCTATGAGTCCCAAAACTTTAATGCCTGTGCTATTTTTGACAAATAAGAAGGGTCCTTGTAAATTGAGAGCATGAACCTTCTGCTGACTGTTCATAGATTTCCAAATAAGTGACAGGCTCATAAGTAAGTGATCCTTACATGGAAAACCAAGTATTTTCTCAACACTGGTTTGTGACCTTGAGTACAATGCACTGAGTTATTCCTACCCCTTCTTATTTTACAAAAGATTTGAGGCAGTTTACAAGAGTATATTCAGTCAAAAGTAGATGAAAACCCTAGGCCCAGAAAAATACAGATTAGAATAAGGGATCTAGACCATGGAGTCTAAGATTAACTACTATGTACAGGCTCTGGGTTCAATTCCCAGCCCTGGAAAAAAAATGGGGGATGGTATTTAAGACCAGTGCACAGCAAGAACACAGACTTGTATATCTTAAGTCTTGTGCAGTTGTTAAAATTTAGCAACTGCACAAGATACTGTGGACTTGCTGCCTGAGATGAGGGAGATGACCTGCTAGAGGGTCAATGTCCCCCTTTGTAATCTTGGTATTTCTAAAAGTTCTTCTTTATCAGTGCAGTGTTACTTCTTCAGTCTTCTCCTCTAAGGCATACCTGGCTCTAGATTATGAATATAAAAGAAGGTATTCATGTACAAAACTATCCCTTAGTAATTCTGACAAAACTCTAAGTCAGAAGGGAATATATGTGAGTTTGTATGGAAGTGGCCTTTCTTGGGGCCAGAGAGTGGGGCCAAGTTCACAAACAAAGTAGTGGGGAATAACATGGGCTTTATCTTTCAAGACACCAGAAAAAAATCATGCTTTACCATTTCCTAGCTACCAGGCCTTGGGTGAGTTATTTATTTTCTGAGTCCCTAAAACCGAGTTTCTCCATCTATATCAAAGAAGGTACCACTTCCTCTAAGCTTACACGATGGTAAGAAAGAAAAGACCTGAGAAAGTTTCTGTTCAGATACTGGAATCTCCTGAGCTTATTAGTGGGTAGGCACCAGTCCCCGTTCTCAGGTTTTTATTGAATTATCTCATCATAGCCCCCTAATGAGCTCAGCCAATGAGTGATACTGTCCCCAACCCACCCAACAGGGAACTGGGCTTGCTCCACCAGAAAATGACAAAATCAGGGTGCAAACACAGCAATCTCAATCTGGGACCCTCTATCACTCCACCCCCACCCCAACTGACATATGGCTCTGCTTCTCATAATGTCTGTGCAAGGAACATTGGATTTCTTTCTTATTATTCTTTTTGCTTACATCTTGAACAAATGCCTCTGTAGGAAGAGGCAGGCAGAGCACATTCTCAAGATTTCTTGAATCTGGGCTTTTCTGGATTGCCATCCTGATTAGCCCCAAATGAGTAATTTTCTTTGCTCTTAGAGTGAAAAAAAAGGGTGGGTGGGGGGGGGGGGGGGGGGGTGGTACCTAAGACCAACCTTGCAGGTGGACGCCTTCCATGGACTATTTTGTCACGAGGTTCTGAGCATCAGAGCTGCGATTCCTTTTCTAGGAAAACCAGGAGACATTTGGGGGAAGCGTTAGAACTGTTTTCATCAGTTCCTGACTTATGATATGAGGACATATAGAGAATCAGTAATCTCCTGCTGAGTGGGAAACAGCCTTTAAGAAGGCATTCTTGAAGCCTAAGTTACTGACAACCTCCTGGCAGACACACAGTCCAGCTTGAGCACATGTCCACTCCTGTAACCCTCCTCTATTACTTCCCTTCCTTCTTATTCAGAATCAGGATCAATACAATGTGTACCTACTCATGCTTTATTTTTACACTTGTGTGTTTTGTCAAAGCCCACTTTGACAAAGTGCAAGAGCCAGGACTTGTGATACTGGAACTGCACTGACTTCAAAGATGAATCAGACACTAGAGGTTTCTTCCAAAAGTGTTCTAACCTAGTCAAGGACCCAGGTGATGTAAGTGCCACAGGGAGATTCAAGAAGACAGAGAGAACCTCCAGTCTGGGTATGTAGAAAAGCCATCATAAAGAAGATGGCATTTGATGTCAGCTTTAATCAGTAGGACTTGGACTGATCTGCAAGGAATAATGGAAACAAGTCCAGAAATAAGAAATAAGAGTTTAGGATGTATTGGAGCAGCTGTCATTCTCAGTGTGTTTGGTTTGGTGTGGATAATGGGGGAGGTGTGAGGATTTTTTTTTTTAACCAGGAATTGCTGTAGGTTAGATCTTAACTGCACCCCAAGGGACAGTGTGTTGAAGACTTGGTCTACAGGGTGGCATCATTGGGAAGTGGTGGGATCTTTAAGAGGTGGGGCCTAGTGGGAGGTCTTTAGGTCATTGAGGCAGGTTCTCAAAGGAGATTATGGGACTCTGCTTTTTCCTTTTTTGTTTTCCAGCCAGGAGGTGAGGCTTTGTTCTACCATGAGCTCCCACAATGATGTGCTCCCACCACAGGTACAAAAGTGATGGAACCAATTGGTGATGGACTGAAACCTCCAAAACTGAGCCAAAATAACCTTTTTCTCTTTTTAAGTTGATTATTTCAGGTATTTGTTACAGTGATAGAAAACAGACTAATACCAGGAGTAATATGATCAAGGTTGTAATTAAGGAAATGATGGCTTGATGGACTAGGGAAAAGAGTGAATGGAGGTTGGCTATCAGCTAGCTCATAGATGCTTTATTAGTTCATTAAGAAAAGGGCGTGAACTAAGGTAGTAGCACAGAGAATAGGAAAAAGGTTAGAAAGTGTCTTACTTCTGGGAGAAAAGAAACTATGCCATATTTGTTCATATTTCCTTCCTCTGGCCCCAAAGCATTTAGGAGTTCTGTAGGAGGAACTCAGAGAGTCCTAATTGATTCAAGGTTTAGAGTGCTTTGTTCCACCCCAGGTGAGAGCTGTTTCTGATGGGAGACGGGATATAGTTGGGAGCATAAGAAAAGATGCAACCACTGCATGTCATCTTGAGCATAAGACAGAAGGCAGAGAATTTCAGGACCTTAATTTCTAAGAAAAGAACATGCTTCTTAAATGACTGATGATAGGCTTACTCATCATTAGGCCTGATGATAGATGATTAAGGCCTATGCTATTAAGCATAAAACGATTAAAAGAAATAGATAAGAATGCATAAAATACAAGTAAAGTAGAATTTAAACTGATAAGTAGTTTGGGTCAGAAATGTTTGATATAAAGGTAAATTCTTAATTCAGAGACCATATCAAACCAAGATTATTGCAAAAATGAATCTTCTGAAAAAAATTGAGTCTCAGTACAGATTGAGCATTTCTAATCCAAAAATCTGAAATCAGAAGTGCTTCAAAGTTTGAAGATTTTCCAGTATCAACATGATATCACATGTGGAAAATCCTACATCTGATTTTATGTGATGGGTCACAGTCAAAAAGAAGATGCACTAAAAGTATCTTCAGGCTATATGTGTAAAATGTATATGAAATATAAGCAAGTTTTGTGTTTAGATTGAGTTCCATCCCCAACATATCTCATTATTCATATGCAAATATTCCAAAAAAATGGTTTTTTTAAAAACCCCAAATTTGAAACATTTCTGGTCCTGAGCATTTCAGATAAGGGATACTCGCTTGTATTTCATTGGAAAACATAAAACATAATGTTTGTATATTGGCTTTTCATAACACCAAATATGTACAACCCAAGAATGATTCTGGAAACGTTGTGCACACCCCTTTTCCCTAGTAGGATGGTAGAGCAAGAAAGTTCAGCTCCAGACTCTAGAACTCACCCTCCCTTCCTCAGTGTTCACATCTACATAATGGGGATGAAAATGGTGCCTGTTTCATAGGGTTGGCATGAGGGTTTTTGTAAAGCGGTTAGGGCAGTCTCTGTCACAGAGCTGCATAATTATAATTTTAATGATGAGATTTATATTTTTTCTAAAATTGTCACTATTCTTGAAATATTTATTCACCTCAGGTGCTAGCAGTTGGATGAAATAACAAAAAAGGTGATTTTTTTGTTGTTGTAATATGGTTTAAAAAATATTTTTAAACACTTTTTAGATCCTATAATGTCATTAATTCTCCACTGTGGTTTCTATATTGTCCTGCCACGTCAAAGTGTATTTGGACACCAATAAGCTTGGATAAAAATACACTAGTGGAAAATGGGCTCAAAATAAGTTGGTCACCCTAATAAGCAGTTTATGTAGTCTGGGTGAGGTACTGGCTAGGTAATAAGTCTATTTTTACTTGGCATCAGTACCAATTATCAAGGAAAGGTATATTCAGACACAAATAAAACTCAGTGCTGATGCTGAATTTAGAAGTAGAGTTAATTTCAATAAAAACTGGATGTGGAAAAAGTGAGTACCTGAAGCATAGTCATTCCAAGGTTTGTTGGTCAAGGGAAAAGTTCCATTCCAAAACCCCAGGGAGTGGGGAAGATGAGGAGAAAAGGTGGAGGAAATAAAAATGTGTCACACACACACACACACACACACACACACACACCAGACTGGGGCAATGGCAGAAGCCACGCTAACTGATGCACATATCAGGCCTGTCACCTGGGAACCTGAAGCCATATAATGCTTATTGTCCCTCTGTGCAACTTTTCTGGTTGAGCATCCTAAGTCCCAAGTAAAGTTACTTAAATATTATTCATCTGTTTCTGTGTTATTTCTAGAATCCACAATTATTTGGATGGAAACAGCATGAGGGAGTCAGAGAAGCCAACCAGGAAGCTACTATAGCAATTCAGGAGACAAATGTTCCAGGCCAGGACAACCGCAGAGATGGAGAGAATTGCAGATTCCAGAGGTAATTGGGGAATATTATGTACATAACATGGAGGTAGTTAAATATGAGATGGGGAAATTGAGGGAGAGGGAGAAAACAAAGAAGATGCCTGAGGTCTAGTTGATGCCACTCAATGGACATTCTTTTCTGGAGGATGGTTGAAGATGAGATGAGGTAGGGAAAGGCAAGGGCTGAGAAGATCCAAGTAGAAGCATCTTGTACCTAGGTGCATATATGAATCTAAAGCTCAAAAAAGAAATCAATGCCAAAGAAATAGATGAAGGAATCAGAATATAAATGGTAAGGCAGTGGGAATAGAGAAAGATTTCACTATAAGAAGTAAGTCCAGAGCATGGGGTCAATTATTTGTAACAAATATTTCAGTCTTTAGTCTGTGGTACAAGTCTCCTTCACATATACTTATAGGGATATCTAGACCAAGCTGAATATCAGAGTTAAGATTTGGTGCCCAGAGTAGATTAAACCAGGTAAGCAAAGAATTTATAATACTGAATTGTTTTAAGGAGGGATTTATCCTGAACGTTTATCAGCATATCTTCTCCAAAACTTTATGTATGTATATAATATTTTAAACACACACACACACCAAATGGGGTGTGTGTGTATATACATAGAATTTTGATGTGATTTATTTAGTAAAGGATAAAATGATTTAATAATAAATAATTATGCTGAAAATAATACTCTATTAACCATATATAAACACCATAATTAACATTATTTTTTAAATGCAAAATACTCAATAAAAGAACCTTAAGCAAATTAACACTAGTACAAGATTTGAAGACTATGAGAAAAGGCATTAGAAGGAACATTATTTAAGGTTAAGATGACAGTAGCATTATGTCCTCAAAACACAAGAAAATAGGAGGGAAAAAAAAGAAGAAAGGAAGAAACCTGGTTACCTGTGCCTTGAGTCTGGAGTGGAGCTTGTGGTCTGACAACCAGGGGTGTTTGAGAGCTTCACTGGCACTTATTCTCCAACTAAATGGAAAGAAACTCATTAGTAGGAACACACCAAACAAGGTCTACATTTGTCCCTCATCTTTGGTGCTGGTAGACCAGATGGCCAAATGTCAAATTCACAGTAAAGTGTATCTTTTCTAGAATTGTGTGCTGAGGATGAGGGCAGAGGTCACCATCACATCCAATCAGAGTAACAGCATTGGAAAAGCAAGCAAGACAAATGATCAAAATTCTTGTTAATAATTGAATACTTCCAAATATAAGAAATAGTTCTTGTGATATGTGAGTCTCATAAATTGAGTTCCTAACCGTTGAAGAATAAACCCATATTTATTATTATGAGAACAACAAACCACAATGATTATTGATTATTACAAAAGTAATTCAGGTATTATGTCTTTTGTATATGTATTACTAATGTTCAAACTAAGAAGTTTTGAAGAGTTAAATAGATAAGGAAATATGGTTAATATAATTATTCGAAGAAAGTAGGAATACTTTATGAAGAAACTATCTGCTTTTGCAGCTACAAAAAGAGGTTTATACAATTTTAGAAAATAATACTCTCTTAACCATATATAAATACCATAATAAAGATGATATCACATTCTAATTCTGAAATTTGTAACTTGTTTGGTGTACTAATATGGATCACATAAAAATAACTTTTCAAAATAAAAACTACAACTGAGTGCAATTTCTGAAAAATATCAAGTCAGTAGTTTCAAACAATCATAAAGCTTCAGTTTGTAGGATTGAGTCAATATAATTGCTTCATCAGATGCCAAATATTTAAGTATCAATTTGAAGAGGAAATATGTCTTTAGTGACATTATTGACAGCATCACCATTACAGGACCCTAACCAGACCGAGGTTATTAATAAGAAAAAACTCCTCACCTCCTCCAACCACAGATGGAAATGTGATTGTGTTTTGTACCATAAATTTCCATTATTAGATGTCAGAGAATTCCAATAGTGGACAGTGCTGAAAAATGATTATTCCTGCACTGTCAGACTTTTAAAATCTTAACATTGAAGAGCTAATAATAACATTTTACTCATCGTAAAACTTTTAATAACATTTCAGCTTTATCTTTGTACCCCAGAAATTTATGCTACCATGGTAATATGTGACTTTAACCTTAGTTTTATCCAACTATTGACTTCAAGACTAAACCAGTCGAACAAATGTTATGGGATGCATCATAGGTATTAAACAAAGCCCTTAGACTGCAGGGGTGAGCAAGGCATAGGCATTGGAGTCGCTGGTCCTGCTCAGGATCTGCTCTGCCTTAGCCCCAAGGCTTCATGACTCTCAGCCTCAGTTTCCTCATCTGTAAAGTACTGATGGTATGTCCATATACCACTGGATTTTCCAGAGGTTAAATAAGGTAATACATAAAAGGATAGATAGATTGATCGATCAAATATATTTATATAATATATATGTACAATAGGTTCACAGTAATTGTGGATTTCTCATCCCCCAAAGTTTCATAGGGTTGGCACTTTCTATCTGTCCACTGCCTATAGTACAATAATGTGCAAATAATAATAATAACCTTAGCTATTATTGTGCCCTTTCATTAAGGACAAAGAAAATCACAATACAAATTGTCCCTTCTCTTAGACTGATGCTCTTAGCCTGGCTAAGTCTTCACCCTTTAGGGACTCCATTCTGGTCTTATCTTTGTGTTGACCACATTTGTATTATTGATTTTTAAAAATAACTATCTCTTCTATTAGATCATGCATTTACTAAAGCAGGACTAGGTTTTGTACATCTAAGATGCCCCAATTTGTTTGCTGGATTATGGTAGATGATCAGTGAAATACTTGAATGAAAGGATTTCCCATTAGGCCCCACATCAGACCCACTACCCATGCTGTTACCCTACTCCACACAGCATCCCTCAATCTATTGATTTGTGGTCATGCTTATTAATGGACCTAAAAGTCAAAAAGACAATAAAACAACAAACCAAGTATTACTGGCTCTGACAATCCTAAAGACCACCTACTGTTACATGGTTTGGGCATAAAGCCATCTGAAATAGAATGTTTGACAGGTTAATCACAATGTCCCTCTCCCTCTATTATTCTAAGATGCAAGTCCCTGTATTTCAATATTGTTCTTTATCCACTGAACTTTGAATGAATGTGGTTTTAGCATGAGAGAAACTAGAAGGCCATGTAATACACAGCAGCTCAGTGTGTGGCCTTGGAGGAAGGTCAACTTGTGTTTCAGTATCAGTTCTGCCCCTTAAAAGCCATGTGACTGTGGGCCAACTGCTTAGAGTCTCATCGATAAAATAGTAATAATCAGAGTTTCTACCTCTTGGAGGAGGAGGCAAGATGGTGACTAAAAGAGATAATATCTAAAAAGCATGTGGCACCATCTGGCCCCCAATAGATTCTCAAATGAAATGGTGGATATTCAGCTGCCCAGAGCCATGCATTTGGCTTAAATGGGTGAAAGGGATTAAAGATGAATAACTTGGGGCCTAACAGGAGACCATGATTGCTAGAGCTTTGTTGCAAAAGGCAGAAAGACATAAAATGATAATCCTAAATGCCTCATGAACACAGTAGCCCCAGATTTCAATAGACTTGCTAGATATCACTAGAGGGATGATTTTCTTTCTTGGGGTTTGAACTCAGAAGTGCTTTACCACTAAACTACATCCCTAGCCCTTCTCATTTTTTTTAAATGTTTTGAGACAAGATTTTACCAAGTTGCTGAGGCTGACTTGACTGGCCTCCAACTTGCAATCCTCCTGCCTCAGCCTCCCCGTCACTGGGATTAGCCCAGCATCCGGGCTTTAGGGGAATGAATTCTAATAAGCCCAGTGGTACATATTGTTTCCCTACTTTTCCCAGAGCACAGGATGAACTTAGGTTACCTCTTCTCCTTGATCAGGAGCTTGGAGATGAATTCCCTGGCCTCCTCTGAGATGTCCTGAAATTCTTCATCCTCTAAGTCCCACCTGCATGCCAGGATGTTGTTCAGTGTCTCTGCATCATTATCACCCAGGAAAGGGGACAAACCGCTAAGTCTACAAGGTGCAGGATCCAGAGTGAGTATTTTTTAAATAGCCTCAAAACCTTTACAGACAGTTTGCTTTTTGGGGTTCTGTCATTTAAAAGTCAGAAGGGGAAAATAACCTAACAATGGAGAATAATTTTATAATATATCATTGCAAACAAGGAAATATTTACCTCCCCCACTGAACTCCTAATTCAACAAAGGCAACTGTGAAAGCTGCTGCTACACTCAAATATGAATTTTCAAAAGATAGTAATTCCTTGTTAAAGCATTTTGTAGCTAGAAAAGTACTGTTGTATACTCAGAAGACAAACACCAGGAGTGTCACCACCAAGTCTTTCTCTTTCTTTTTAATTCCTTTTAAAGCTTCAGGTGGTATCAGCACTCAAAGTGATTTGTGAAGACACACACATTCACTTTTTCAGATGAGGTGGGGGAGAATTCACTCTTTTCACCCACAGGATTCAACAGAACCTAAGAAGCCACAGAGTATGGTACGTTGTTATTTTTAAATGACCTAAATCGGGGCTGTTATTCAAAAATAGCTAAACCTCTTAGAATATGCACAGATTTAGGCCAAGCATATGAGAGACCTGCACAGGGACTTACAGCATGTAGGCGATGACCCCCACACTCCACATGTCAGTCGGAAAGGACACAAAATCATAGTTCACAACTTCAGGGGCAAGAAATTCTGGGGTTCCAAAGTTCACCTTTAGCTTCTCTCTGGGTTTGTATCTGAAATTGAGGAGACAGGATGGAAGGATGGAGAGTGTCAATCCAAACTCCAAAATCGGGATCACAGAAAAGAGATGCAGTCTATGAGACGGAATAACTTCAGCGATCCAGCAAATTCAAAATAAATAGACTTTAAAAGAAATCCTGTCTTTGTACCAGCGTCCAAAACTTGTGAAGAAGTCCCAGGGGTTTCAAGAGTCAAAATTTATACTACAAGACCGTAATAATCTGAAACAGTTTTGGCAAAAGTCACTCAGAATAATTAGAACATCTAAATTATAGAATATAATGTAAAATGATACAGCCCTTGACATGTACAGGCTTGAATAAGCCTGCATTGACGAATAAGGAAAAGACTGCAATAATTTACAACACCCATTTTATATGCATCGTTAATGTGCTGAATTGTTAATGTGTCCATGTAAACTCTTTATTCCCTTAAGAAGCATATATGTGCCAGAACCTTTGGCAATCTTGTTTAAATTATTAATATTTTTAAAGTAAATCTGCTTGTCACTGATGGAACAAATATAAAAGACCAAGACAAATTCTTAAAAATCTTAAACTAATGGCTTCTAACTTACTAAACTTCATTGTATTAGGTTTAAATTTATCATATTTTTATTACATGCATTATAGAGACTTTTAAAGACAAATCTCAAATTTGACAAGGTAAGAGAATGTAAATTTCATAAAGTTAATTCTAAATGTGGACGTGAAACCAAGGAGTATATCAGATTTACTTTGCAAAGATTGATCATCGATCACGTCCCCTAATCCATTCCTACACCTATGTCCGAAGAGACATACCTTCTGGCCAATCCAAAATCAATAATTTTTATTTGTTTAGCATCCCGATTCACACACAGGATATTCTCAGGCTGCCAGGAGAAAGAGACACATTAGCAATGAAAACAACAATCCTTTACTCAAATTGTCCTTGAACCACAACTAAAAATACAACGATGCTCAGGAAAAACATATCAGGCCTTTCACTTGGGGGCTGGCTTGTCTGTGTGGGTATTTTCTCCTTTAATTATGTGGTGGATGAGGTTGCGGGGACACTGCCAACCTTGCATTACCCTGCCTGTCCCTCTCCACAGCTTCGCAGTTGACCATAATGCATGAGTTCAGGCAGAGGCCTCTTTGAGGGAAGGAGGAGGCTGTTTCAGGACTTCCCAAATGGACTGGTGGAGGCCAGCTAGATGTGACATTGGCCCCTCTAAAATTATTAAGTATGAATTTCCCCTGCTTGGAGGCATATTTCATCCAAAGATTTATGAGTTCCAAGAGAAATGGCCTGATTCGCTTAACCACCCAGAATATGCAATATAATGTGAACTCTCCTGACTTTTAGATTTTTCTTTTGCACTTTGTCTATGGGAAAGTCTCATGTTAAAGCAAAGCTGTTTCCTCCTACTCATTCTTCATTCTCAGAAATCCTAAGGTTTTGCTGAGTTTGGTCTCAATGCCTGAAACCCTTGACTAATATTTCCTTTGAGTTAGATTCAGGTAAGACTTCACTCTGCTAAATTAACAGTCTGGGACAAAGTAGGAGAAAAACTGGTAAGTAGCACTACTGCCCAATGTCCCTAGAATGTCCTACAAAGGGACCTATATTTATTGGGATATGAAAAATGAGGTCTGGGAGAAATAAAGGACTTGATTTAAAGTCAAGATTATCTCTAAAAGAGAAATAACATTTTTAAAGGAGAGCTGAACACCCTCAAACTCTAGTCTCAACTCTTCTCTGAAAACTGAGGACAGGAACCAAGTCTTTGGATGCCAGGATTCCATTCCCCCATCCCTTAGGAGGGATCATAGCTCACCTCAGGGATCATAGCCTTGGGGGAAAAATTTGATTTGCAGAATGTCAAGAAGGCACTTCAAAAAGTTAATTTTTCTGATTGTGAAATTAAAGAATATTCATTGGATATGATTTTTAGAGCAGAAAAATATAAAGGAGACCATTTTTAAGTTACTTCTCCTCTCCCCTATATAGTGACAGACATTCAATACTTTGGGCCCTTTTCCTTCCAAGGAGCTTTTGCAAAAGCTAGTCCTTAATGACCCATCCAGCTGTCACCTTTATTATCATCTCTATACACAAGGCATAACTAAAATGGCCTATTGCAAGTTCTCAATCAATGTTATGAAGCCACAGATGGAGTCATTTGACTTATGATAGGCCAGCTCCTGGCTCCGGTTGCCAATAAAATCCCTTTAGGGATATCTTCAGAATATCCACACTCAACGAAAATGCACCATGAAAATATGCATTATCATACTCAGTTCATGGCCAAGGGCTTTGCTAATGATTTTTGACCTCTGACTTTGTCGTTTTATATACCACTTCCCCTGGCCCTCCTTCTGTGCACCAGTGAATGGGAAAGGCAAGGCACATAAATCAACAGTGAGGGAAGCCAAGCTGTAGAAGAGAGGCCCATGGAAAGCTATTTAAGGAGGCTAGATTTATTTAGCTGCACAATCCCCGGTGACTTGCAATAGATGGTATATCATATAGAATTCATACTTTATCTCACTGTCATGCTGTGCAAACAGGGAAATGAACAAATGATCTAGCCACACAAGATGGACTTTGACTCATAGCTGTAACATTTGGCTTGGTCAGTGTTATTCAGTCTCCATCTTTTGTTAGTTTGGAATTATGTACAGTTCAATTCTAGGGGCTTCATACTGAGAGAGATAAAAAAGGAAGGGGTAATAAATAATAGGAGAAAGGAAGTGGTTTGGCATCTTTTATGCATTCCACCATTTCCAGCATGGTACCCCGCCCTGTCCTCTCTGCTCTTTGACTTTGGAGCCCTGCCCTCTGGCTGCCCTACATTCCCTTCTCCATAGTTTCTACTAGTGCTCAGGCAAGCCCATAGGAAAGTAGATCCCAAAGTCCAGAGCTTCCTGAAACAGTTCAGGAGAGCGCGGGGGATTCTTAGAAACCTGGAAAGTGTAGTTACTACTAGGGAATTGTGAATTGTGGATTCGCCTACATATCCTGATAATGAGGAGGATATGATGAGAATACTGTGGTGGTGGTAGTGGCAGCTTTAATTCTAAATTTTTCAGGAAACTACCCCCACTGATGATTTCTTTAACACAAGCAAGTTACAAATGAACAGTAGCCTCTAAAAGGGGGCATAGTACCTAAAGATGGTGTCAGAAGCTGAGAATGAGATAAGAATCTAGATTTTCACCAGGTGTGTTAACACACCGATGTAGTCCCAGCTACTTGGGAGGCTAAGGCAGGAAGATCACTTGAGCCCAGGAGTTTGAGACTAGCCTGAGCAACACAGAAAGACTCCATACCAAAAAAAAAAAAATTCCTGAAAATGTAACCAATGACACCACAAATTTCCTGAGCTGGAGTATATCTGGCAAGGCCCACAAATCAAGATGGGGTGGGGGTGGGGTTGGGAAGGCTTTAAATTTGGCAGAACAGAAAACATGCCCCACCTTCAGGTCCAAGTGGAGGATGTACATCTGGTGCATGTGCCTGATCCCCTCGCATATCTGCCTGATGAACAGGATGGTATCATACTCAGTCAAGTTGTAGTTTTCATCAATGATGCGGTCGAACAGCTCCCCGCCCTCCACACTACAGAGGGAAGAGAGGTGGCGTTAGTTCTGAGCCCTGGACCATCACATGCTTTTCTTGTGGCAATTTGGTGTGTAAGTTCCTCTAACTCTTAAAAAAAAAAAAAAAAAAGCTGTGTGCACAGTTATTTCTCTGCCTTCTTTGCTATCTCAGTTGGGTGGTTGCTCTTGTTGTATATACCTTCAATTTCACAAAGGGAAAACCTCGAAGACTCTTCTATCAGTGGCTACAGCTCAATGCTGGAGACAACGAGGACTCTAAGGACATAGTCCTCAGACCAATTGCAGGGACAAAGTGCTTCTATGGGAATGATACTTTACTATATAAGATACTTTATTGCACAACAAGAAGCAAAACCCAAAATGGCGGGGGCAGTGGGGGGGGAGTAAATATTGATTCAGTGTTAGTTAGAACTATTGGCCTACCTGAGTGCCTGCCTGACAGGCAGGCGAGTAGTTCTAACTTCTTTTTGTTCTTTCTCTCAATTTTTCTTTTGTGGTGCTATGGATCAAACCCAAGGCCTCACACATACTAGACAAGTGCTCTACTAATGAACTACACCCCCAGCCTGAAAAAAACTACTCATTTTCTAACCAACCAGTCATTAAGTTTTTACAAAGGCGATTAAATGGAAGCTTCTCACTCTATGCATCGAGCATTTTACATAAACTTTGTATTAATGAATCCAGTAATCCTGGCTTGGCCACAGTTTTGCTTTCTGGGGTTTTAGTTACCAACAGGAAACTGTGGACAGTGTAGTACAGTAAGATATTTTGAGAGAGAGATGACATTCCCATAATTATATTATAGCACATTATGTTTGTCCCATTTTATTATTAGTTACTGACAAATTAAACTTTATCATAGGTATGCAAGTATAAGAAAAATATAGTAGCTAGAGAGCTCAGTACTGTCCTTGGTTTCAAGCATCCACTCCGGGGACTTGAAACTTATTCTTGGAGGACAAGGGGGGGATGACAATACGTTGGAAATGAGATGTAATTCAAAAATCGCTTTCCTCTAGATTATCCAGGACAAAATAAAAGCTTGATTCGTGGTAATATAGCTTAGATACAAAGCTGTATCCATTTTGTCCTGCTTCATCTTATCCACACGTCGCATTGGGAGATGTATATTCTCTAAGTGGTCTGCCTTCTGAGACTGACACGACCATGTAACTCAGACAAATCAGATCCAAAGGTGCAACGGGTTTGATTCTGGCCCTGCTGAGGCAGAATGCAGCTGCAGACTCCTAGTCGTGAGTGGGGTAGAGGAGGCGGGTAAAGGGGGGTGGGCAGGAGGGGACACCTACTACTCCATGACCAGGACGATGTCATTCTTAGACTCAAAGGCGTCATAGAGCTGGATGAGGTTCACGTGGTCCAGCTGATTCATGACGCTGATCTCGTTCTTCACTTCCTCCTGAGAGAGAGGAGACAGGGCGTTAGTGTGGTGGAGAACGGTTAGGAGGGTGGCTCCTGCACCCACCTCCCCCCATCCCCACCCCACGCCCTTCACCTTGTCCTTTGGGCCTCTGGTCTTGATGATTTTGGCAGCCAGCTTCAGGCCTGTGGCCTTCTCTTCACACTTGTGAACCTGGCCGAAACGCCCCCTGCCAAAGGAGAGAACCGCACAGAATGAGACACTGCCAACCTGCCAGGGAACCCGGCAGTCACTGCCACACCAACAGTGCAGTTTCTCTGGGGCTTTTCTTCTTTGAACTTGAAGAGCAAACCTGTGTGTGCACCCACTGTATCCCCTGGACTTCTGAACAGCGCTAGTCAAGGTGTGGTTTAGGTCACTTGTGTCAGATCTCCCAGGAGGGAGCGTGTTAAGAATGTAGTATTCTGGAACCTACCCCAGAACTATAGAGGCCGGAATTCAGGGTAAGGCCCCAGAATCTGCATTTCACCCTTTCTCTGGATGATTCATGTGCACACTAAAATTCAGAATCACTAGTTGACAAGACAGAATCTTTCTGAATACATATGAATGTAACAAACTGGGCTGGGTAAGCATATGAATGATTCAGTCTGTGGGGCAGGTATATCAGAATCCATTTAGAAATTGCATATGAACTTAAAAGAGATGAAAAAATGATATCACATATAGGTACATATGATCTGAAGTACATACTGCCTTGTTGCCAATGAGTATTGTCTCAGTTTAGCTTGGGAGTCAATCCATATGTGCTTCTGATATGATATAGGTTGAGGGTGTGCCTCCAAGATTCATGTGTTGGGAGCTTGGTCCTCAGTATGGCAATGTCGGGGGATAATATGGAGATGTTTTAAGTGCTGGGACCTAATAAGAAGTAACAGAAGGAATTGATGTAGTGCTTATGGAATCCTGGTTAGTTCTTATGAAAGGGTTGTTATAAAAGAGCAAACCTAGTGTCTCTTCCTGTTTCATGGTGTGATCCCTAACTCTTCTACTTTCTCCTACTTTGATATTGTCTACCATGATGTGACCAACCAGGGAAACACTCATCAGAGGCAAGTCATGACAGGCATCATGCTCTTGAATCTTTGGAACTGTGAATTAAGTAAACCTTTTTCCTTAATAAAGGAGCCAGCCTCAGGTATTTAATTGAAGTAACAGAAAACAAACAAATATATCTTCATACCTTTGTGATCACATTCCAAAATGCACACTTGTGAGCAATTTCTAAACTTGATTTGCTTATTTTGATTGCTTATCTAGTAAGGTAAAATAGAACATGTGTCCCTGCTGTGTGCAATGGTGGCTGTCATGGCAAGGAATGAAAGGGAAGCCTCCCTAACTGCACAGTGAACTTGAACAAGGACACTTTCCTGGAGCCTGCAGAGATGATGATGATGATAGCAACACCTGACAGAGGCGGGGCAGTGACAGCCACCACATTCCAGTCAACTCCGCTTCCTACCCAGGGCAGAAGCAGGTGGAGCTTGGAGAATGATGTTGGATTACTATAAACATAGCCAGGGGGTAAGCGCAATTCCAACCACCATTCTACAGGAAACCTGTACTGGAGAATATGAATACAGCCCCAGGCACCTCCTCTGTGGTCATTGTTTAAGAAAGTACTTTTACCCCATCATTAGCAATGGCCTAGAACTGCCTGGCCCAGCAATGGTGAGCCACCACAGTTTGACACAAGGGTTATCTCCACTCTGTGGCTCTCTCACAAGATTTATTCTGCAACGGCCTTGAATGATGAGTCCACCTCCCAGTATTCAAGCTGAGGTCACCAGACTAATAACCTCATGTTAACTAAACATGATCATCAGCATTAGTCATATTTTCAATGCTGTGACAAAATACCTAAGATAAAAAAACTTAAAGGGGGCTAAGGTTGTGGTTCAGTGGTAGAGCGCTTGTCTCGCACATGTGAGGCACTGGGTTCGATCCTCAGCACCCCATAAAAATAAAGAAAGAAAGATATTGTGACCATGTATAGCTTTAATTTTTTTTTTTTAAATTAAAGGAAGCTGGTTTCAGAGGTTTCAGTGCATGGATGTTTGGCCTGTGGCTTTGGGCCTGTGGCAGCATAGTATGTCATAGGAGGAGTATGTGGCAGAGGAGTTGCTCCCTTCATGGTGGCAGAGAAGCAAAAAGGGAGAGAGAGGAAGGGACTGAGATCCCAATATCTCCTTCGAGGGCACACCCCCAGGAACCTAACTTTCTCCCACCAGGCTCCTCCTCCTACAAGTTTCACCAGCTCTCAACAGGCTTATTAAACTAAGCCTTTAACACAAGGGCCTTTGGGAAATATTACAAATCCAAACTATAGCAGGGATATAAATATCCTAGAGGCCACAGGGCAGCAGACTAAAACAGGAAACATTTTTGAAGATTCAATAATCCTTGGCATCTTATAGCATCTCTACCAAAAGGAAAAGGTCGGATGCTGAATCTTGACCCTCCTACCACAGAAAAGGAGGCCAGCACTCAATGATCCCTTCACATCTTGAAGGCAGCAACATGCACTCAACTAGTTTGCTGAGCAGATTGTGGCTGCCAGTGTTGAGTGGAGCCCAGAACAAGAGACGACCAGCTGCTGGTCTAGACTTCAGTGCAACCAAGCAGATCCAATGGTGCCCATAGGGGGCAGAAAGGAAGTTGAAGGGGCACTATTGACAAACCTTAGCCAGAAAAACAGCACAAACCCTGGGAATTGTTTCAAAATTTCTTTTGCAAATAACTATTCTCCTTCAGAGAAATTAGTTGCTGGCTTGCCACTGAAATCCCTGAAGACTCAAATACTTCAGACTTCCATGGCACCAGTTCATGCTGTGGAATCCTCATTTCTCCTCCGCCCATCCCCATGTCCCATGGGAAGTTCTCTCATGATCACCAAGGAAGACATTCAGGTGGTTCCATGTGGCAAGGGCAAAAGGAATATGGATGGGAAGAGGAAGAAAGGACCTCTTGAAATCAATGAATTACACCCCAGTAATTAATTGCAGAAATCTGTCTATTTCTCATGTGTTGGTAAGTAAATTTTGTATATATGTATGTAAATTTTCTGCTTTCCTCTTCCTTTTCTTTTTTTTTTTATACAAAGACATGCTGATGATAGCAAACCTTATAATTGAAGCTTTGAGTTACAAGATATCATAGAGGCAATTGTGAATGAAGTAGAAGAGGAAAAAACATCTCCCAGCCTAAATGTGCTCCCGTTTTAATCTTTCTTCTTTAGGGAGAGAACATGCATTTCGGTGTCCCTCAAATAAGTTCTTCAGTGAGGAAAGCAATCAATCAGAATGGATAATAGTAACCAATACAGTAACAGTAGAAATGGAGAATGATACAAAAACTTTGCACATGCCACAAGAAAGACACGGCAGTGACTCATTTCTACGTTCTGTCTCCTGGGGTTTAAGCCATGGCTTTGAACAGCTTCAGAATCTTCTGGTGACTCACGTTGGGTTTTTCTTACTTTCAGACATTACAACATGGGAAGTAAAAGCAGATAATAAATGTGGAGTTTAGTGACCACATCAACCTTTCTGGCACCCGTGACAATTTTCAGAAATGGCTGAAATCTCTTGTCTGTCTATAAATGTTCTACTTCTCAGGAAAACGTTTCTGAAGCCCTCAGGTCTGTCTCTGCTGTTCCAATTGAGCATGACTTACCCTCCCAAAATCTCTGTTTTGCTCACAGTATATAAACTGTTGACCGCTGCTTGCTTGGCTGTCACAATTCGATGATCGAATGGGGCGGCAGGAGCAGGGATGTCATCTAGAAGGTGAGAGGAAAAAAGGGCTGTCTGTCAAGCAGTCTGACCTCTTTTTAGCATCTAGCATTGGACCTCATAATAAAAATGTGCTCATTTAATAATTAAATACCATGGGCTGTCTGTTTTATTCCTAATGATCCAGGAATATAAAGTTCCATTTCATATCATAATCTGCGATTAATAAAGGTAATATCTGACCTCTTTGAGAAAGAATGTCAGGACCATCCAACTATCATTCATACCATCTTCCGAACCACTTTTCAGAAATGTCAAAAGTTAGTAGCAAATGTCCAAGCCCAGTACAGTCCAAACAGGTAACGAACTTGGTGCAGTTTAGTGGCAGAGCACTTGCCTAATGTGCACAAGGCCCTGGGTTCCATTCCCAGCATCACAAAAAACATAAAAACAAATAATTCAAAATAAAAAATAATACTTCCAAGTTTGAGTGAGACCACTGTAATTCAAACATGAGGAATTATTTGATCCATTTTTTTAAAAAAGTGCCCCTTGATATATTCTGTTATTTTAATTAAAGCAGAGAGAAAAAAAAAGGAAAAATGAAACATTTCTTCATATCACTGAAATGTTTGATGTTATATATTACTTTCCAAAACGTTTTAGGCTCTATTTAAGACACATTTAAGTCACACAGATGAATTTTTCCTGGCTGGCTGGAAATAAAACACCCAATAAAACGAGGTAAGTGTGTATTCTACAACTATCGAATTTCTTCCACTTTCTACCTTCCATCTTGTGTATTTAAACTCTAGACCATATCAACATTAGTCCTAACATGCGTAATTACTCTATAATATTTCTCCCAATATTCTTTTTACTTCTCCATGACTGCTGCTGTTAAAATTTGCTCGTCATGAACCTGTTCATTCTCCATGTATTCATTTATCAAGCAGCTATTATTGCATGCATTCAATGAGGGGAGTAGATAACAGCTTTGCTTTCAATACTTGATATTTGTTCAACATGCTTCTTGAGCACTTATCTTGTTTCAGGTCCTCTACTGAGTGTTAATATTTTGGGAGAGTTTTGTTTTGTTTTGAGACCAAGTCTCACTGTGTTGCAAAAGCTGGCCTTAAATTCTTGATCCTCCTGACTCAGCTTCCTGAGTAGCTGGGATTACAGGCAAGCACACACTGCTCTCGGCTGATGCTTTTAATTTAAAATTAGCTTAACTAATATGACATCTTTGTATTCAGTTAACATCTGAGAATCTGATTTGAGTGGATTTTCACTTCTTACACTATGAATATGCTGAAAAATGTTGTCAAGAGAGCATTCACTTGGTGGCAACTCATTGCTTCAGAGTTTTTCTTAAAAAAAAAAAGTGCTCCAGTTAAACACACAAACAGCATCAATAGGGCTTAAGTCTCCTTCAGGCTGTTAGGATAATGAAACTTCATTTGGAATTCTTGCTGGAAAAGGTTAGGGAGTTTTAAAAGGCCAGTACAAAAGCCATTTCCTACCCAGTGGGGCCACCAGATCTTGCTCTCTGGAGGGTTTCATTCCCACAGACTCAGGGGGTTGACACTGTAAGCTCCTCTGGGCTTGACTGGCTTCCTGGGTCCCTTTAAATGTGTGCTCTTCACCTGCACCCACTAGATCTATTCTGCTCTTTTTGCTGTCCTCCTTGACGAAGCACTCCTCGGTCACTCTGCGCTTACTGCTGCCAATGGACTCTGATTGTTCAGCCTGCTGGAGAGTGCATCCTGTTGCTGGATTTCCCAGGACTCCTGGTGCAGATACCATCTTGGCACTGTTGATGCACCTGGAAAATAAAATCCAGTTGCAGCTCTCAAAGTTTCAAGGAGAAAATGTTCAGATGGTCAAAATTCTCAGAACTAAAGCTTTCCTACAACGGTGTCCTGGTGAAGAGGATGTGAGCTCCGAGACAGAGGTGACCATTTCAGTGCTTAGGGACCAAGGGAAGCAGTGGGCTCCCCCCATCGAATCTATGTAAATTACCAGGATGAAATATCCCCAAGACCTTGTGGTTACCCCCAGGCACTTCACTGTCTCTTTATAAAAGTGGTCATTATGTGAAAACCTAATTTGTTTTCATTTTTTCCCCACTTCCTTTCTTCATAGAGAAAAAAAATGACCAATTTCATAATATAAGAAGCAATAATATCTCTAAACATTATCAGTCATAAGGGAACATGGGTGGATTTCTGGTTTAGAGGCAGTTCGTATAACTACTAAGCACATCTTTGCAGTGATGGACTTCAATAATCATCAGTGTTTATGTTTAATTTATGGAAAATTAGATTTATCCAAGATTAGGTTTAGGTTTCAAGGATATTATTTTAAAGTTAAACAAGAATTGTGTCTTCAGTCCCTAAAAAGGACCACACAAGTATTTGGATACCCTTTGTTCCAAATAGATATCATGGGTCACCATAACCTAGAGCAATTAATTTCAATGGGTTTCAAAATTTCCTGAATTTTTTTATATGAAACTTTGCAGTTAAGGAAGAGAATCATTCAATAATCTACTTCTTACAATACTTGGGTGTAAATAGCCAATTTTTGTGTATAATGAACTAGGTAAACTTTTTCAGATTTAGGTTCCTAACTTACAATTAAATCTAACTATTATTTAATTATTGCCCTTATGGAGAATATCTTCTCCGTTGCTAAACAAGAAAAAAGAACTTTTATTTGATCTTTTCAAAATGTTGATTACTGGAAATATTTATAAATTTTGTCTTCATCTGTATGATGATAGAAGACTTAGGAAGCAAAAATATACGGATGGGAATGTAGCTTAGTGGTAGAATGCATTTTTAGCATGAAAAAGGCCCTGGGTTTGATCCCCAGCATCCAAACAAAACAATAAAATGCCTGAAAGTATCAGAGACAATAAGAAAAACAAGGGCAAGAAATATGACCGTGAAAAAAAAATCTACATGATCTGGGAAACTGGGTTCTAAATCATTAATTCAAAAACTCTCTTCATTTTTCTTTCAATATGACCTTTAACTGTAATGGCAGATAGATAGCTAAGAAACATTAGTTGTGGGGGTGTAGTGTGCACCCTACCTTTCATGGGACTGATCACCGTTAGTTTTATCAACATGCTGCTTTTTATTGGAATTTTTGTCCAGCACGGGTGCTCCTGCTGTTGGAGACCATCCTTCCTCCTCATCTTCTTGTCTTCTAGTATCTTCCTTAGAATTGAGCCCATTTGACTCCCCCTTGAGCGCTGGACAATCATTCTTATCCACAGTGGCTTGCTTCTTATCTCCAACACTATTATTTTCTTTTCTCTTCAAGCTTTCTGTGCAAGAAGTACCTTTTCCATCTACACTCCCCCTCGGTTCTATGGAGTTTCTCGGGACAGAATCCTCTGCCTTATCTTGCCTTTCTGAATGACACACAGCAAAACTCCTCTGATCTACAGAGGCATTGGTCTTCTCGGAATTTTTCTTGTTGAGTTTATCAATCTTTTCTTTCTCAGAGGACAGTTGGTTCTTCTGGGTAGATCTCTCTAGAAGCCACCATAGGACACAAAATATTTTAATGGAGAATGCATGTGATCAGTATAATTTCAGCTTCATATAATGCCATCTATGCTCTGGTTTCTTTTTAAACAACAGACATATGTTTTGAGTAGCCAGGAAAAAGGAAAGAGGACCAACTGATTGACAATCGGATTTTAAGAGATTTTCTTTTTTGCAACTGATGGGACCAAAAATCAATCAGATAAAAGCATTCACAAAATAGAATTTCTCTCTAAACATGTAACTTCCTCTGTATAAGAAAAATAGCAGGATTTTCAAAGCAGATTCTCTGTCTGCAACTGCTAGTCTTCTAAGGATGTTACCTGTGAGGGCTGATGTCCTTTCGCCTTTGACAAGTGTCTTTTCCTTCAGGCCAGGGTTTGACCACACCTTCTCCTTAGCCTGTGGATATGAAAGTAAGTGAGATTACCTGTTATATCCAGATTTCTCAAACTCAGCACTACCGACACTTGGGGCTGCATAAGTCTCTATGGTAAGAAACAGCATGAGAATTGTAGGATGTTCAGCGACTTCCTGATAATCTACCCAGAAGATGCCAGTAGTATCCTGCTTCCCAACTGTCATGACCAATTGCATCTCCAGGCATTTAAAACGTACTCTCTTAATTATTTTAAAATATACAACACATTAATATTCACTCTATTCACTCTGCATATAACAGATCTCAAAAATCTACTCTTCTTGTCTATCTGAAACTTTGTCAATCACAATAATATTAATAAAACAAAATGTACCCAGAGATTGCTAAATGTCCCCTAGGTATAAAAATGCTCCAGGTTAAGAATCATAATATTATATATTTCCAAAAGAAAAAAAACAAAAATTAATAGACATTCACTGGACAGAAGAGTCTGAATTAATGAAATCCTGTATAGGCTAATCTTATGGTGGAATTTTATACCTGAAAACAAATTAACTTATTATTTTCAAAGAAATACTGTAGAATTCTATCATGATTCATAGGTTGTCCATTTTCATGAATAGATTAAAGAATGTTGATAATGTATGTGCCACCTTTGACCTCTGTTTAATTTGTCTTGATATGATTCATATAAAAATCAAATAAAAATGAGAGTACATATGTGAATGGCTTTGCAAACAGAAAATTAAGGAAAATAAGCTTTTTATGAGTTTTTAGGTTGCTTAGAGCAAATATCTCTCCTCCTAAGTGGATAAACATTCTTCTCAAATCCCTTTCAAATACCATATAAAATGTAAACATTAGTCCAACCCAACCCACCCAAATTATCACAATTCTAAATTTATGTATTAGAAATTTAAGAAATTGTATGGAGGTCCAAAGAATCAATCTCTCTCTCTCTCTCTCTCTCTCTCTCTCTCTCTGTCACTCGGTGTGTGTGTGTGTGTGTGTGTGTGTGTGTGTGTGTGTGTGGCGGGGTGTATCTCCCTCCTATTTCTTGAAACAGAAACAATTTAACAGTTTGCCTCAGGGTGGTTTGCTAACCTGAAATACCATATAAGTCAGTGCATAGTCACCAAGACAAATTGCAATGTGTACTTTTAAATAATTTAAGGAACAGTTTCATAGGTTCAGAGTATTTCCATTTTTTAAACCAGGGACCTCACAACACAGAGGCATGTTTAGTAAATCTATAGAAAGCCAGGGCTGTAGATTAGAGCAGTAATTCTCTTTTAAGTCTAAGTGCGGAGATGGCGGGGAACATGGTCTTCAGCTTCCTCAGGCAAAGCCAGCTGCTCCTTGCACAGAGCTTGACATGTGCCCCACCCTTGTTATCTCTTGCAACATTTCATTGACCCTTTTTCCCCTGTCAATTTCTCACTAGACTATGGGGTTTCTAAAGGTTTGACTGGTTCATGTGTGACTCCTGGTGCTTAGCCCAGGGACCGGCACATATTGATGAGGACAATGATGATGATGATGATGATGATAGTGGTGGTGACAGTAATGATGACGACGATGGTGATGATGATGATGTTGATGATGATGATGCTGGCCATGACGATGATGGTGATAATGGCTAAAATTTATGGAACATGGGCAATGGGCCAGTTATTATTGAACCAATACATTATCAACTTGGTTGCTCCTTATAACAACCTTTTGGTATAGACTATCAGCTCTATTTTATAGATGAAGCCAGGATTTTAACTCAGTTGTGTAGCTCACTCTGTGCTCTTAGCAACTGCATTCACTCTACTATTCCTCTAGGAAAAAACAAAAAGACCATAGCTAAGCTACATTATTAATATTTATTGAGATCTACTACATAGTTGGAACCACAGAAGATGAGATTAAGAAAGAAGAGCATAAAATGAAAACAAATTATGAGAGCAGAGATGCGAATAATTTTTGGCCAAAAGAGTCAAATTAACATAGTAAGGGGAGGGAATTTTTTTTTTTTTTTTAAAAAGAGAGAGACACTATTTGATTTAATTTTGAAAATGCATATTTATCTTAGTCAAATAAGGAATATTACCAAATTGTGTTTATAAGATTTTACAAATTTGTCTTCCAAGGCTTCTCTGTTATTTATTTTTGTTGTTGTTTGTTTGTTTGTTTGTTGAGACAAGGTCTTACTATATTGTCCAGGCTGGCCTCAAACTCACGATCTTTCTGCCTTAGTCTCCTGAGTAGCTGGGATTACAGGCATGAGCCACTACACTTGGTTTCAATGATTCACTATCTAAATGAAGATTCCTGGTATAGCAATAGACATTGTGCTTCTGGGCTTATCATGTGTGGCATAAACTCAATGGTAAAAAGCAAACGTGGACTTAAAAAGAAAAATAGGTATCAGTCAATTTCAGTTCATCATAACATGCAAAATTGAGAATTTGGCTGTGCTACTCTGTGAAGCACTGATCACTCAGCATTTGCCCCAAAGGCCATCTGTATGTCAGATGGTAAGTGTCCATATACTCTGTCAATATTCTTTAGGTGTGGAGTCCTATCTAATAAACAGGAGAAGCCCTTGGTCCTGAGGAATATAAGAAGTCAGTTTCCAAAAAAGGCTGTTTGTTCCTTTGGAAATTATATATCACATATGTTTTACCTTTTAAATAATGGAAGAAGGTCCTCATTCAATGCCCCAGGCTATTATATTTTTATCTTCCTATGTAATACTGACATCTAGAGGAACTTTGAACTGAAGAATTTTCAATGAACACAAGTTGTATTTCTCCTTTTTTGTCCCCAGACCAAAACCTTATTGAACTTCAACTTTTTCCTTTGCATTTCTTTAGTTCTGTGTAGAAGCTGCTATAAAAAAGCACAGGTCTATATATATATATATATATATATATATATATCTTGTTTGTTCGACCAAAAATGAAGCTTGTTTTCTATTGACTAAAGAGGATTGATCCATGCTGTTTAGCATGAAGTTCCTGAAACCATTTCAATCATCCCATTAATGGGATGAAAACATACCAGGGATTGTGTTCCTCTGCTGAATTTGCACAGATGGCTGAAAAAAACCAAAGGACCTCACTTCATTCCAATTTCTTTATTCGTTCACTTAATTCTTTTGTATGTTCTCATATGGATGACATTGTCACTATTAGCCAATTGCTTTTATAATAATTTCCTAGTGGATTTAGGATGACACAGAGAAGAAAGGGGATATGGCCCTCCCAGATGCCTCAATACTCCAAATGTAGCTTGGCTCTCTCCACTTGTCCAGTTCCCTGAATGTGTCCCCTAAGCACATGCATGTACCCAGGGATTATCCACAGCCATCCTTTGGGGAACATGAAAGAAATGTTAGAACTCATTTCTATTTATTTCATATCTTATGGACTGTGTGTTTGTGTTCCTCTGAAATTTGTATATTGAAAATCTAATCCCCACTGCGGTAGCCTAAAAGAATCTGGATGTAGAACTCAACAGAATGCTGATGTCCATGTGAGTGGAGTTTTCGGAAGGTGATTGGATCATGAAGGTGGAGCCCTCTTCGATGGGATTAGTGCCTTTATGGGAAGAAACATGAGAACTCGCTCACTCAGTACTTTCCAACATGTGAGAACCTGAGAAGATGGCCATCTTCAACCCAAGATACAGGCCATCACCCACCATTGGATCTGCTGGTATCCTGATCTCGAACTCTCAGCCTCCAGAACTGTGAGAAATAAATGCTTCTTATTTTAAGCCACACAGATTATGGTAATTTGTTACAGCAGCCTGTACTAACACATTCTTTTAAAATTTATATTTAATATATGCTTGAAGATGTACACAAATAAAATTGGACATGCATATAATTTTATAAGTTTCTATAATATACTAAATGTTAATTATAAAATCAAATATACATGTATTGGTTACCAACATGTATATGAGAATAAATATGTAAGCATATAAGAATGTGCTTAAAAATATTTTACTGAGGGACTGGGGTTGTGGCTTAGCAGTAGAGTGCTTGACTTGCTCCTGTGAGGCCCTGGGTTCAATCCTCAGCACCACATAAAAATAAATAAACAAAATAAAGGTATCATGTCCATTTACAACTAAAAAAATTTTTAAATAATTTTTTACTGAAAGCAGTATGAAATCAAAATGCCACTAGATAACTATATTTATCACCTTCTAACTTGCTGAAATATGTGTTTTGGAGAACCATGTTAATTAGATTCAAGAACAAGTACAACATTGCAACAGTCAGCTCAATTCTTGCAAATTATTTTTTCTCCTATAACATACAGGATTCATTACTCAAATGCCTATTTTGACTATTTAACCAATTGTAAGTATGCATGCACTTTATATTCTTGACTCCATTTGAAGTTTCACTTGTCATCTTAGGGTCCAGCCCTGAACAGGTGGGCAGCATCTGTCCATGGCTATGCACCTGGTTGCCTGGGCATGAGTTCCCTTTTACCCTGTACTACACACCTGCCCCAGTACTACATTAAAACTTCTTTTCCTCAAAGTGATGGAATAACCAAAATGGAAATTAATTTAACTGGGCAATTTTACTTCTTATTTCATTGCCATTCAATAAAAATCAGTTTTTTTAAAAAAAACAATTCCACGATGGATTTAATCTAAAAGAACATCAAAGTTGAGAGAGTAGCTTCCTTCACTGGACCTTAACAGCACTGTGATTGTTTTCTGAGATTGTGCCATCAGGTGATGGCCCTGTCCCATGACTGGAATATGGAGTCTTCTCCTCACCTTTGTTTTTCCAGTGTCAAACAAGGGGGTGAGGGTTCCAAAAACGCTTGGTGAAGGATTATGAAATGAAGGTAAGAAGTGCTTACAGGCATGGTGCTCTCATTATGAGAACACTTTGTCATCAGGCTGCCCTGGGGACTATCTCAAATCCATTCCTACTGATAATCCCCATATTCTTTGCTCCACTTAAGCAACATTAAGTGAGATCCACAGTCCTGCATTTGAA